ATAAAAAGAAATCAAGTTCTAGGACATTATTTGAAGAGACTAAAGGTCAAAGTTGTTAAAAGTAAAAGGAAGGAATATACAGTTATTTTATCTGATCAAGGTTAAAATAGATACGTTGTTATCTCTGGTAACCCTTAATGGACTTTTGCTGATCAGTACTGAACGATGAGGCTTTAAGGATTTGTTTATAGATGAGAGATGGGATATGAGAAGAAGAGATCATTTGTTGCATTTTAAGAGAAGGTGATAAGATACTAAAATTGTTTATACTTGTGATGAAAGGGGAAGTCATTTCTTTATATCTTTCTTTTCATTTTCTTTACTATATTCTTATTTTTTTTCTTTCTTTTATATTTTTCTTTCTATTTTTTTCATTTCTGCACTTTCTATTTTTCTTTTTATTCTTTTTTTTAGTTTCTATTAGATTTTATCTTTTTAATTGTAACTTTTAATAAAATTACTATAAAAAAGACATGTTCTTTATAAATATCCACCCTTTTGCTGGTTTAAACTGGTGGATAGCTACTAATTTATCTAACTTGCATATTCCACCTAGAGATCAAGGAATAATTTCAAATAGTTTTGCAACCATTTGGAAGATAGTTACATGAGATACATAAGGCTGCTAAGGTTCATATTGCTATATATGAAGCATATGCGTGTGTGTGTGTGTGTGTCTGTGTATGCATGTCTGTGTGTTTATGTGTGAGTGTGTGTGTATAAAATACATGTGTGTTTACTTGAGCAAGTACTTTAAATCATACCTTTTTCTGCAAAAAAATAGTAATAGAATTTAAAATGCATAGTGATTTTTGAAAGGAGAAAAACCCCAAGAGCTAAAATGGCAAACATTTTGCATTTTATCAATACTAATGAATCCCTTAAACCCCAGGGATGCAAATGTCATCAGTTCAAGGGCCACACCAAGCTCTGCAAGGCGTATAAATGTCTCACTCCAAAAATATGAAAAAGCAGAGACCTGATTTTGGCAGTGTCATTTTCAAGGCGTAAAATCCAGAGGTATAAGGCTCCTATTTTCCCCCTAAACTCCTGCCAAACCCTCAAATAAAAGATTAAAACTCCCATTTCAAGGGAGGGTTCAAGGGCTCACTTTGTACCTTAACCATTCCTACCAGCCCCCAAAATGCCGGAAAGACCTAGCTGCTCTTGAGGAGCTCTGGGGGCTACAAATGTTTAACAGCCTGTGATGATAAAGGACAAAACAGGCGTTTACATGTGTAGAAATGTACATACCTGATAACAGTTTATTCCCAAAGCGATGTTTTTAATATTGGAAATCTCTTGCCAGATGTTTTCTTCCACTTGTTAAGAAGAATGAAGATTCAGAAGAGGATGTCTCTCGTGCCAGACACTAAGACTCACAATTTTCTAAACTGTGATGGAAGCAGAATGATATTTTGGAAGGATGTTCCATGGATTACAAGGAATATGATACTTACGAAAACATTGGCTTGCCAGAAGATGAGGAAGGGTGTTCATACATGCCTTTATTTTGGGTAGTTCGTATCATAAGATCTCATCCAATTTTAACTCCTATAAACAATGCATCTAGCAGCTGATTAATATGCATACATATGTAATTCTATTATAATTATTTAGTGTGGTCTGTGGATATTTTAAGCATGATTTTTTTTTAAAAAAAGAGTGAGTTCCTTTCTGTTCTGTTGAGCAAACATAAATTATTTCCCTGCCCTCCACTCAACTATCACAGACTTTAATAGAAACTTTTTCACTATGCCATTGGTTCTCTCTTTGCCTCCTTCTGGAGAGCAGTAGGCCTACTTAAGGTATTGGAAACAATATATATTTGTTTCCAAGGCAGTTGCTATTTGTTTCACTTAATGCTCTCTTAAAGGTTTTATTTCCTTGAGAAAAAGGCTACTTTTTTTTTTTAATCACTTTATTCTCAGGATGCTTAACCTATTTCTTGTGGTGGTGCTTTTGTGTTTTTTATTAATGGAGCTGGCAGAGGATGCTACGGTTGGTACTGTCTAGTTCTCTTTCCCACTGCCACTGGGGTGGCTTTCAAAGTAAGATGATAGCATCTGCACAAAAGTAACTACCATCTTTCAAAAATGGCAGAATTGTATGGGATATTCTGTTGTTGATTTGTTGCTTGCTTTTGCCATTGTGACCACTGACAATCATTTTCGCTGAAGCATTAAATAATATTGATTAACATGGAACAGTCTCTGATGAAAGGTCAGTTGCTTATTGAATGGGAGGGACAGGCTGATGAGTTTGTCGTGGTGTTTCTCTCCTGGTGCAGAACAGAAGATCAGAAGATGGGGTGAGTCAGAGTTTGGAGTGGATAGTAGATGTTGGATGGAGATGTAGAAGTTGCTGAAAGGTTCAAAAAATGGGAGAGAAGGAGAAATCAGAAGTGGATAGCAAGAAGGAAAAAACATGAGAAGTGTGGATGAAGGATCATTTGGAGTGCTCATAGTATATGAATGAAAGAGGAAGAAGTTGGACTCAAATGTGGACAGAAAGAGACTGCAATAACTCCACCCTTTCTCTACCCCATGGCAGTAGAGATGACAAATGAATCTCAAATGTAACTGGGTGTGATTTGTAATGGGATGGAATGTGGTAGGATAAACACGTTCATAGCTAGGTGCACTCTCCTTCCCTTACAGAAGAGCAATGAGCACATCACACTAGAAATGATATCAGGATGGGTGGAGGAGCCTGAGTTGTATCACTAGGGAGCAATAGGCTAGGATAATGAGAATTCCCGCAGTTCCTCTGCTGCTTCAATGACTATTGTCTGGAAGGCCACAGGGCCTTTCCCCCTGGAGGCAAGGCTTGCTGTCTCACAGTCTATGGTTAAGGAGTGGCATTTCCATTCCCTGGAAGGGGGAGTGGGGAGAGAGGTTTCTCTCCTGCAATGGCAGGGCAGGAGAGACACCCTCAACTCATGGAAAGCCAGGGAATGGGTGTGGAGAAGACCATCCCCTGAACCAGCTGAGCCCTAGTGGAAGAAGGGCTTAGCAGGTAGGGAAGGCGTAGCTTCCTGGGCATTACTAGGGATCAGGTCTTGGATGGGGAGTTTGTAAATCTGATAGGAGTGGCCAAAAGGTCATCTAATTAGGGGAGGAGAGAGGAGAGGATAGAAATGTTGATGGAAGGCTGTTCCAGGGAGCCTGGAGAAGGAGCTATGAGGTTCTGCAGCCACTGGAATATGGAGACATGATGGGAGGCTCTGGGATGACCATTTCAAGGTGGATCAGCGGTTCAGAGCCAGTCCCCACTTCTAGCCTTAATGCCTCATCCTAAGGTCCTGGATGCTGGATCGCTGGGAGCCTTGGCCTCATACTGTTGGTGTTAAATACCAGGCTTGTATGCCATAAAACCCTGACATGTATTACTGAAACTTGTCTGGGTAGGACAGGGAGGTTAGGATGGCCTCCTCCTTGTTACCCTTTACAAAAGAGATAAAGACTAAAGAAATTTATTTTATCTGATTATTGTGAGCCACCCAGTGTCTATGATTTGGGAGGCATATAAATCATATGAAACCACAGACAAACACATTCCTTTGTCACAGAAAACTAACTGGTAAAGTAAAACTGCTTAAAATGATGGGTTGAACTTCTTTCTTAATGCTTTAGACCAGTGTTTTTCAAACTTGGCAACTTTAAGATGTGTGGACTTCAACACCCAGGATTCCCCATGAGTTACCCATCCAAATTGGCAGCTTACCTGGGAATGTTTAGAGGCCATGATGCAGATCTCACCCACCCACTCACTCTGCAGCGTTTTTAAAGGTGAGTAATATGGAAAGACTCCCCTTCGAAGCGTAATTTAATATTTGAAATGAAACTGTAGGATGGTTCAGTACTATTCACACAAGAAGAAAAGCAAATAAATTAAAATATTATTTCAAGTTTCACTACACGCTCCTGATTAATAGGTAAAAACCTTCAACGGTAAAAAAAAACAATAGACCAAAACTTTGCACTGGCCTAGGATGCAGTGAAACAAAAGAGGGGGGCAGTGTACAAATGACCATTCAGCCCCCAAGCCTCCCCCAGTCATAAAAAGGCCCTTGCCCTCAAACAGGAATGCCGAAAGGGTGAGGCCAAGAGCAAGGAAGAAAGAACCCTGGGTGGGGAGGAGACCAACGTGATGCAAGAAAGAGCCTCGCTCTTAAGTCAAAGCCTCGCTCCAGGTCCCTTGTGATCCTGGGCAAGAGAGCTGATCCTTGGCCTCCAGCAGCAGCTGAGTTGCAGTAATCCAAGTATGCAGAAATCAGGGTTTTTTGCTTTGTTAACCTTACTTGTAAGTACAAACTTGGGAGGGAAAGAAAGACTTTTACTTTGTCCCAATAGCTCACCAAACAATTGCATTTAGGGCTCTCAGGAGCACAGCTGCACTGAGAAAGAGGGCAGATCCACTTTTTCTCCATGCATCTCCCAAATGCATGTTTTCAGAGGGCTCTTTGAATGCAAGCCTAAAGCCAGCTTTGTTTTATTTTTTCAATGTACATCAGCCAAACTTTGCATTTGTCAGCTGTAGTCACAGTTGGGGGCAGCCCTGCATAACTCAAAAAAGTTATGTAGGCTAGTGTTTGGATGGGAGACCATCAAGAGATCCCAGGGATGTAGGCAAGACTGGAAAGTTAAAAAAAAAAGTCGTAGAAGGAAGCAATAGCAAGCCACTTTTGTAATGCCTGGGAGTCATTCTTATTTTACTCCAGCCTATCTATGTGGCTTCATTATCAGTCACAGTCAATGCTTCTTACTGTAGAAAACTGAGTTTCCATTATGTGTGGGTTTTTTACATCAAGATTGGGTTCAGAGTATGGACAAAAATTCTAAGGCTGCCATTTGTTCAGAATACTCTAGTTGCTCTTAACTGGCTTGTGTTTTCTCCAGTTCAGGAGGGCACCATATAGAGCCCTCAAAATAGATGTGGTCAGGCTTGTCTTCAAAAATAACAATTTAGCTTAACTACGATTCTCTACATTGTAAGCCAACTGTGCTGGAAAGCCAAAAACTTTTATTTCAAAAGCTGGTTGTTTTTGAAAAACTTCAACCAGATATCACATCACTTATAGAATTCAACCACTTAAAAAGAAGAAAGTGGTTAAAAGCACCACAAGTATTGAGCCTCCCACACAGACCATGCATGTTATAATCAAATATAAAGGAAATAACTACTTCATCACACACAGCAATTTTCACTCTAATATATGCATTGCTTTGCTTCGGAGATTTGATTTATTTGATTTTGTGTTGATTCTACCGCCTGTTTAAAGGCTGCATTTAGGGGAACACTATTAACTTTAAATCTTCAGAGCGATTAGACTAAGACTGGCTAAAGTCAGGTTGAAATATGCAGTTTAACCATGAAGCTCATTTGATCCCCCTGAAGTAGCCACCATCTGTGAGCCTAACCTCTTTCCCAGGGTTATTAGACAAAGAGTGGACGATAAATTACCAAGAACTTCTTGGATGAAAGGTGGAGTATGAATTAAGCACGCATCACCCCACTGAAATCAATGGTTTCAGCATGCCAAATTATAGGATGGATGGGGGCAGTAATATTATAGCTCATTGTTTTTCCTTCATAGTCCTGCTGCAGCTTACATTCCTATCTAAAGCCTATTTGGAAAGTATATCCTGCTAAAATTTATGGCTGCGAAATGTTGATACAGTCGAGTTGAGTGTACCATCATTTTTAACCTAAGCAAAGTCAGAAGGAAGGTTTTAGCCAACCCACTTCTTCTCTGCAAGTTACCTATTTGTAAGAGAGATTTATTTCATTTACTTACATGCATGGTCTAGTTCTCCTGCTGCATTTTGGTCACTGGGAGTTGCGTAAAGATAACACATAGTCAACATTGGCATCCATAAGGGAGAACAAAAGGCGCAAATGATGATCCATGCATCACCATGTCACAATTAGGTGAAAGGCTGGGGTTTGTGTCATGATGAAATTTCCCATAATTGTGGTTTATACCAAATGTCTAAGATCAGTGTCATCCAAGAGAGCCTGTATCTGATTCTTTCAGCACACATTAATGAACCTTCCATCAATATTATTAAATTTA